CTTAGAAAGTAAGACCTTGCCCAAGGCTATCTAATTAGTGAATAGTGCATATAGAATGTTCATTTTCCAGTCAGTCTCCTCTGGTTGATTGAACTTAAAAGGTGGAATTATGTCTTTCTAATCTGTGAGTCTCTCATACAGTGTCTGACTTTTAGTACGTACTTGATGATTATTTAATACCTGTAAGCTCGCTCTTGGCCAGCCAGACTTCTGTATCTGACTCCTGGTTTGGCGGTTAATCACTCAGGTGGGAGAGCTGGTGATGAGGAAGGTCGGCAAGTCCTGGAGCCAGTGGAAAACTTTTCTGGCCAAAAGTTGAATCCCCAGTAAAGGAAAGACCAGCTTGTTCAGCTAGGGGACCACCATTTTAACTTGTTAGGAATCAAAATGTTTAGGGTCAAACTTGTGTTAAACTAATTAGAACTTTCTTTCCTGGCCCTTCAGACTTATATATTGCTACATCTTCAAGCAAGTTTAACCCTAAACCTAAACATTATGCATTTGAGCCATCACCTCTGGGACCATTAAGAATTAGCCCTATTGAGGGATGATTTTTATGGCCCTTGTATTGAGTTTTAAAGGAACTGGGACCAACTCTCTTCCTTTCCCCTCCTTCCCCCTCTGGGTTTTGAGAAGGCCTGCAGTATTCTTTGTGGTATTCTTTCTGACTCTGCTGTTTTCCCCTAAAACCACAGTGCCTGAGTCTGCTGAGTCTCGGGTAACCAGGTACCATGTACGTGGCAAGCTTAGCTCAAGAAGGGTCATTTCAGACAGCACTGACTCTGAGTCTCTGCTGTCTGTCCCTTGTGCACCTGAGAGCTTTTGCAGGCCTGTAAAGTCTTACACGTGTGCCATTTAGGGTTAGGTGCGTCCTTTGCACAGTTACTTGTATTTAATGTATTGATCTGAGACTCTGTATCCTTAATTCTGTTAACTGTGTAGCTGCTCTCTGTTTTCTTAGCCAGTAACTCGTATTGCCCAATAATGCTTATCCTAACATTATTTGAGGGCTCAAGTTCCTGGTTCCTCTCTTAAATTTACAAACAGAACATTAAATCAGTTTTTTAACAAATTGGTGAACAAGAATGAGTCAGGTTGTTCCAGGATCTCTGGCTTCACTCACAAACCAAAATAATATAGTGACTAGATTGTTAAGTTGGATTCAGCTAAAGGGGACAAGAGGGCAAATCCATGTGGCTTGTTGCTCAGCTTTGCCCCTCACCTGGCACTTTCTATTTTGAAAAATGAGATTCTTTATAGGACATGAAAAGTGGATCACATGTGAGAAATGTGAATAGGTTTTCTCTCTCTTTTAACTTATTTTCTCCATATAGTATGTCCTGTAATTTTTTTTCTACTAAAATAATTTCCAAAATTATCCTGGTTCTTGTTTTACCTTTTTGTATGGATGGAAAGGAATCTTGTACACCTGATGTGCCTGATTTTCATGATTGATGGTTGGCTTCTTCCTCACCACAAGTGAACTAGCGTGGGAAGGAGCCTAGTACTGGAGAGGCTTGCCCCCTGCCCCTTGGATGATTTCCAGATGGGGATCAGGAGAGCCGCTCCTTCTTGTCTGGCTTGTTTGAGTTTGTCTTGAGTGGATAGTGGCCACGGGCTGGGGGAATGAAAGCAGCCCTGGTGGCGCAGTGGTTAAAGCAATCGACTGATAACCGAAAGGTTGATGGTTCAAAACCACCAGTAGCTCCGTGGGAGAAAGATGTAGCAGTCTGCTTCCATAGAGATTTACAGCCTTGGAAACCCTGTGGGGTCGCTATGAGTCGGAATGGACTCGATGGCAGTGGGTTGGGTTTGGTTGGTTGGGCGTAGGAAGGGCGTAGGGACTTTGTTCTTTCTCCTGTCTGGTCAACAGAAAAGTTTAATTCTGGGTTTAAAATGTTGCATAAGCAGTTCATTGTTAAAGGGGAAAATGGGAGAATTTGCAGAATTCATTTTAGGGTTAAAAGAAAACCATTCCAGAGAAGTGTTGGCTGGTCATTGGCACGGGGTGGGGGGGGTAAGATTGATCTCTCCACCTGTGTGGATAACCCTCATCCAAATCGACTTTCCATGAGAGAGCTGTGTCCGTGTGTGGCTCCCTCAAGAGAAGGGGAGGTACTTTGAAGGCAAATTCTGTCTTATCCTTCCCTTTCTGTATCTGCTGTGTTCCTGGAACAGTACATTACAGTCAGAGGTCTTTCCTTGAGATACTCTCCTAATTGAGAAGAGAAAGAATAAAGACGTATTTTTGAAGATTGTGCTACAGATTTTTAAAGAACTAGACCACAAAGAGTCCATTCCATTTGTACCCATTTAGAAGGAGTGTTCATGATGTTGAACTCAGGGTTTGGTTAGCTCATGAGTTCAGCAATGTGTTAGGAGGAAGGAAAGAAGAAATCAGATGGAAATTTAGTTACCACAAATCTGAGTCGAAACCTTTTGGACTTTAGAGCTTCGGTGCTGAATGCTGGAAATCATTTTGAGAGATGAAATCCAATTGTGTTTCTATGTTATTCTGATAATTATTTTATGCTTGAGAATACATCTGTTTCTAAATTCATTAGAAGGAGACATAATGATTTGCTGCAGCAAAGGCATTTGCCCCTGTACTTTGTCACAGAAATAGTCCCAAGTTCTTGCATCCAGTCTCAGCTTTAGGTAACATTGGACACGCTGCTTTGTGCCACAGTTTATAAAATGGAATGTGATGACATATCTTACAGGGCTTTGTGAGACTCCAGATGATATATATGAAAAACATTTCCTAAAGAATATTTAAATGTTACCAGTCTTCCTACTTGTCTATCTGGAAAGCACAGAAATTTTCTAAGTTGTTCAAATTTTTCCTCTTTTGGTTTTAATTTTTCAAAACAAATGGAAATAAAAATTTTAGATTTTAGGACTTTTTAAATGCCTTTTAATATGAAACATTAGAATACTTTTTTCAGTTTCCAAAATATTTTTACAGAATCTTAAGTTACTTTGATCAGTTTAATAAACTTCACATTTTATTTTTAGATTTTTTTGATGTTTGAATTCACTCTAGGATTACTTTAATTCTTTCATTCTAAATTCTTTTTCACATTTGATGTATCTATTATGGTTGCTGATTTTCCCTTCTGAAATACTGAATATTTTTTTGTGTTTGTTTTAGTATTTAGAGAAGTATAATATAGAGGTAGGAGCCCTGATGGCTCAAAGCTTAAAAGCTTCACTGCTAACCAAAAGGTCGGCAGTTTGAATCCACCAGCCGCTCTGTGGGAGAAAAGACCTGGAGATCTGCTCCCATAAAGATTTCAGCCTAGGAAACCCTATGGGGCACTTCTCCTCAGCCCTTTGGGGTTGCTATGAGTTGGAATCAACTCGACGGTACAAAACAACAAATACAGAGACGTATTATTTCTGAATAGTATTTATTTTTTCCCTGAGCAAGTACTCTGTAGTTAAATATCATCATATAAAACAGTTAACTTTAAATGCACCTGTATGATTATTTTAATGTTCCTAAATATCTTTTGAAGCATATGAGTTAAAATTTACAATCATTTATTTCTTCAGCGCCCTGAAAAAAGTTTTTTGTTTTAATTGCATGCATGGGATTTTAGTTAGCATGTTGTGATAGTTGGGAGCCCTGATGGCACAGTGGTTAAGAGCTTGGCTGCTAACCAAAAGGTCGGCAGTATGAACCCACCAGCCGCTCCTTGGAAACCTGTGGGACAGTTCCACTCAGAATGGACTCTTCAGCAGTGCTTTTGGTGTTTGGTTTAGTCTTGGGACAGCTAACTAACATAATGACTACCAGCAGAGGGGGCGCCAGCTCACTGCTCTTGTGAATTTAGCTCTCAACTTGAAAATGTAAGTTTGTGGGAGGAACCCACTTAGAAATAAACTTAAAGCTTACGTAGCACATGCTTATGAAATTATTTAAGGAGCCCTGGTTGTGCAGTGGTTAAGCGCTCGAGTGCTAACTGAAAGTTGGTGGTTTGAACCCACCAGCTGTTCCAAGGGAGAAAAGACCTGGCAGTCTGCTCCCTTAAAGATTACCACCTAGGAAGCTCTATAGGGCAGTTCTACTCTGTCATAAGGATCGCTGTGGTCAGAATTGACTCAATGGCACACAGCAACAACGTAAAATCTTTTTAAAGCTCCCAAAGGGTGACAGTTGTGATTCTTAACTTTGAGGGGAAAGTAATCTCACTTTGATCCCCGTGTTTTTTAACTGCCCTCAAATATAACTGCCTAAACCCAAAAACCTTTTACATAATGTTAAACTCTTATAAATGACCCCCCAAACAACCTGAAGTTTCTAAACTCAAGAAGCTATCTCTAGTCAGTTGAGAAGGAGAGGGTGAGTCTTGGTGGTGGTGGTCTTGTTTGAAATGGGGCCATTGCTGTGTGGGATCGAGTCGAGGCTGACTCGTAGCTGCCCTGTAGGACAGAGTGGAGCTGCTTCATTGGTTTTTCGAGGCTGTAATCTTTATGGGAGCAGATCACCAGGCCTTTCCCCTGCAGAGCCACTGGCTGGGTTCAAACTGCCCACCTTTCGGTTAGCAGCCGAGTGCTTAACCGCCCATAAAATATTAAATAATTGGTAGGTAGTCACAATAGAAGGAGCCCTGGTGGCGCAGTGGTTAAGTGCTCAGCTGCTAACCTAAAGGTCAGTGGTTCGAGCCCATCAGTCACGGGAGAAGGATGTGGCGGTCTCCTTCTGTAAAAGATCACAGCCGTGGAAACCCTATGGAGCAGCTCCACTCCGTCCTGTAGGGTCGCTGAGAGTCGGAATCGACTCTAAGGCACCGAGCAGCCACAGTCACGGTAGCTTGTCATACTCAGGCGATTTACTGACTCGCTGTGCAGTACAGGGGGAGAAGGAAGATCTTCATTTGCTTAGAACTTTCATGCATGCGGAAGGTTTTTAAACTGAAATCTACAACCGCTCTAGAACCTTTAGTCATGTTTAGAGGGTTGGTCCGAATTAATACCTGCTGGTTTCTTTGTAGACCCCAGAAGAAAGTATCACGTGAGGCTGCTGGCTTACAGCAACGTAGAAGATGGCTACCAGGCTGATCAAACAGTCAGCACGCCAGGATGTGTGTGTAAGTAAGAGCTGTGGTAGCTCATTTCACTACGGCTCACACCCCTTCTCCTCTGATGTGTGTAAGAGCTGTGGTAGCTCATTTCACTACAGCTCACACCCCTTCTCCTCTGATGTGTGTAAGAGCTGTGGTAGCTCATTTCACTACGGCTCACACCCCTTCTCCTCTGATGTGTGTGAGCTGTGGTAGCTCATTTCGCTGCAGCTCACACCCCTTCTCCTCTGATGTGTGTAAGAGCTGTGGTAGCTCATTTCACTATGGCTCACACCCCTTCTCCTCTGATAAGTGTAAGGAAGAGCTGTGGTAGCTCATTTCATTATGGCTCATGCTCCTTTCCCTCCTTGTTCTTTAAGTCTCATTACTACTTGGAAGCCTTCGTGGTTTTGCTACTTTTAATCCTCCAAGCATAGTACCTTGAACAAGTAGGTGCTCAGGAAATATTTGCGTGAGATGTGTTGAATTAGAAGAATGTGTTTTCGCTTTGCATGCAAAAGCTTGCTGGAAATTTATCCGGGAAAAATAACCCCTGAATACCCACACACTGAGTTTTCTTTTACCTGCTTTAACCTGGAGGCTAGCTGTCTTCCTTCAGTGGCTGTTCATTTTACTGCTGCTGAAGGGGCGTCGTTCCCGTCCACTGCTGGCTTTCTGCACGTCTTAACTAGTGACTTCCGTGTGCTGCTGTTGCCCAGTCTGTTAAGTGCTGGTAATATTTGATTTCTTCTCGAACTCCAGGGACAGTTGTTGAGGCTTGAATGATTTACCTCTAGACCACTAGGAACCTCTGGTGGATGAAAGATTTCAGCTTCACTTGCAGGGTGGGGTATAATGATTTTGCCATTTTCCCACTTTCTACATCAAATGACGTGTGTTAAATTGTCTTTCTCAAAAGCTGTTCGTGATCGCATGGTCCCTCCACCGCCGCCGCCCCACCACCTCTACGCCAAGGCTAACACCTCCTCCTCCATCTTCCTACACTGGAGGAGGCCTGCCTTCACCACCGCACAGATGATTAACTACACCATCCGCTGTAACCCCGTCGGCCTGCAGAACGCGTCTCTGGTCCTGTACCTTCAGACGTACGTAGCTTCTTGGTGATTTAATTCAAGGTCGTTTGCTTTGCTTTCCTCCCCATTCTTACGCACTTCTTACAGTCTTGGGCTTCAGCTGTAAGCATTTCTCAGGATTTACCTTACTTATAAAATAGCTGGGGTTTTTGCATCCATACGATATTCAGTCCCGAAAATGGCATTTTTTGACACTTAGCTTCTGTAAATGATTTTTTATTTGCCCAGCCTCATGCAACAAGATAAGGCAAAAAGCTCTTATTATTTTCAAGTGGATAAACTTAGCGTGTTTAAAGAAAGAAATGAATAAAAGGCCATTTTCATGCTGGAATCAAAAAGTAGGGCTAGTTGTCATTCTGTTTTCTTTGTTATAAAGATGCCCTTCACGGTGATGGAAACTGTGATTTGACTTCCTGTGTTTCGGAGTAAACCCTTTTGCACTGGGGCGTTTCTGTGTTGTTTTTAACATGAGGTTTCTTTAGCGATGTTTGCGTTCTGACTTTGGCGGAATGTGTGAGGACACTTCAGCAGCAGCAGCTCCAGCCTCACAAGATGCAAACGGGAATATGCCCCTGACTGATAGCTGGGCTGGTTTTGACCTCCTTCTCTACCTTCCTTTTTCTTCTTTTTTCTCCCCAGTTCTCATTGTAACATTCCTATTCTTGATTTTACTGAAAAGAGCTTGCTGAAAGAAAGTTCTCTCTACATGTGTAGAAAGTTAGTTCACTGTTTGGTAATTTCATAGCATGTTTTTCTTCCTTTTTTGATCTTTCAGTTTGATGCAAAACAAAAACAATACAGAAATTTAAATGTTGAACAGCAAGCATCTTCTGTATGTTATATGTGTATCTATATTGTTGATTTTCTAGTTTCTTCTTAGAAAGGCAACTTTTAGGCTTATTTCTAGAGGATGATAAAAAATGTAGTGTTTTAATAATCAAATTAGATTGCTTTTGTAGTGTAAAAATTTTTTTTAAAAAGAAAATGAGGAGTTAATGAATAGTAATAGTATGCCCTATCTGTTGGTTGAAAATACTGGTAATCTTTTGGAAACAGTGAGCTGCCAGCATTAACAGCTCTCTAATCTAGATTGCTCTTTAATGTACTTTAATACACCCATTACTCTTTGATACAGGTCGGAAACTCACATGTTGGTTCAAGGTCTAGAACCCAACACAAAGTATGAGCTTGCTGTTCGACTGCATGTGGACCAGCTCGCCAGCCCCTGGAGTCCCGTCGTGTACCATTCGACGCTTCCAGAAGGTAATCAAGTGGCTCCCCTTAGGCACTTTGTCGCAAAAAGAGAAAAAAAAAAAAGCCCTTAAATGTTTAAAAAAAAATATGTGTCATTTTGATGAGGCTACTACCCCGGTTGCCACCTACCAGTTGATGTGTATGTATTTATCTTATTCATCGAATTTTAATTTTTGAAATTTCTTCTCCTATATTATCTTTTTAAAGGTTTGTTCTCTCTGTTTATATTACTTAGGGAAATGGGCTTAAATTTTTCACGTCCCTTTTACCAGTAGAGAAGCCTCCTTTTTTTAAAAAAAAAATCAGATGTGTTGTTCAAGGCTGCACCCACATGATTTGAAATGGAAATAAGTAACTAACGTGTCCGTAAATGATCTGAGGACCCTGCACTGGAAGCCGTTTCTATAAAGGCGGCAGCTTGATGCAAGGCCCAGTGCAGCGAGCTGGTGGATGCGCATCTGATTGAGTTACCAGTTCTGCAGCTCTAGCTAAGATACGTCACATCTCTAGACCTGCATTCCCTCATCTCAGGAATGAGGAGGTAGGACTAGGTGGTATATAAAGATCATTACAGCTCTTCTCTAACTCTGCTGAGAGAGCAAGGGACGTTTGTTTCAGTGGGCAAAGGGCTTCTTTGTATGGTTTTGCCAATAATCCATGACATGCGGTGTGAAAAGGCACCTCCTCATACTTTGGGCTCATATTAAACCTGTAAACGTTAAAATTCCAAGACTACATTCACTATCACAGATATAAATTACTGAAGTCTGCCCTAAGAACTCTCTGATTCAGAACTTTCTAGGGAGTAACTAAATGTTTGGTCTTGGAGGCATTTCCTTCAGTGACCTTCTCGATCAGGTTAAGTCAGCGTTCTCATGAGAAACACAATTTAGACTTACTAATGGGGTAAGACTTAATGTGTGATGGGTAGGTGCTACTATTGGAACTGTAAACCTTTCTAGTAAGCAATTTGGCTAACAGTATCAAGAGCCCTAAAAATGCTTATAATCTCTGACCTAGTACTTTATGTTTTTTAATATTCTAAAAAACCCCGTTGCTGTCGAGTCAATTCCAACTCCTAGCGGCCCTATGGGACATAATAGAACTGCCCCGTAGAGTTTCCAAGGAGCAGCTGGTGGATTCAAACTGCCAACCTTTTCGTTAGCAGTATAGCACTTAACCACTATGCTACCAGGATTTCCTTAATATTCTAAGCATTATTAATGCTTAAAATGAAATTCGCTTTCAGAAAAAGAAGGAAAAAAATAGCACTTTGCTATTTATCACTTAATGATCTGCAGAAACTGTGATTTTGAGACCCTTGATAGTGGTTGCGAGTTTTTCAAACTCTTTTCTAAACCTGTCAGTTTATTAGCCAGGTAATTTGAGTGTTTATGAACTATTTCATTCTAGTAATACAATATTTTGTTCGTGTGTACACAGCACCAGCAGGCCCTCCAGTTGGAGTAAAAGTGACGTTGATAGAAGATGACACTGCGCTGGTTTCTTGGAAACCCCCCGACGGCCCAGAGACGGTTGTGACGCGCTACACGATCTTGTACGCATCCAGGAAGGCCTGGATTGCGGGAGAGTGGCAGGTCCTACACCGAGAAGGTAGGTATGGCCCTCAGTTACCAGGCAGGATGAAGAGTCAGGTCATTCATGACAAGGAAGCAAAGGGAAAGAGGGATCTGGAGTTTGTTTTGAATTTATGTTTTTATTTATGAATTAACAAATTACTAAAGATTCTGGTTTTATTCAAAGAGCGTTAAGAAGCCATTGATATATTTTAAGCATGTGAATGATTTGTGCTTCAGAAAGAGTACCCTGACAGTTGTGTACAGATGAGGTTGGGGGAGGAGCGGGGCAAGAGCTGTGCAGAAGGACTAGGTGGGAATAATCCTAGTGGTCCAGGAAGGGACGATGCACCTGGACTGGGATGGTGAGGATCATGATGGAGAGGGAGGACGGCTGAAAGATAGCAAGGCTTGATAGTTAGGGCAGGAGAAAGACCAAGGGAAGGGAAATCGTTGTGGTAGTTACTAGGTTTCTGATGGTGGCGTGCCCTGTGCTAGGGTAGGGAGCAATAGAAGAAGATCTCATTTAAGGGAGAAGACATCTACACCGATACTAAAATGGTGCACGTGCAAATAAATTGACCATATGAATATTAGGACCCACTTAGGTGAAGGGGAAACTGATTAGGATTTAAAAACACTGAATTTAATTTTTTCAACACCGTTTTTTTCTTTTTTTTTAGCTGAGAAAAGTTAAATTCTAAAACTCAACATTCTTACTGAATGCATTTTTTATTATATCCTTTTTTAAAAATCATCTTTCGAAATTTGAATCTTTCATATATATATATACATGCACGCGCACATACACACGCATGCACGCGCGCACTCACGCAAGTTCCATATGCCTGGTGGTGCAGTAGTTAAAGTGCTTGGCTGCTAACCGAAAGGTCAGCAGTTCGAATGCACCAGCTGCTCTGCGGGAGAAAGATCTGGCAGTCTGCTCCTGTAAACACTATAGGGCGGCAGCTGGTATCCTATAAATAGTAAAACTTCATTATTTTGGCATTTTCTTAATTCAGATATACATGCTGGAAAAATAGCTTGCCAAGCATTTAAAAGTTTAAGGATTTCACGAAGGACATTTGTTGGCCATCTACGTATTCTAGATGGTACACAGTACGAGGCACTTCTACATACATTTTTACCTTTCAAGAGGAGTAGTTACCCAAGTAAGGGAATCAACTTGGATGTAATTGTAACACTCTTTACGCAGTTATCAAGTAAACAAATGATAACTTGAGCTGGAGTTTTGATAGCTGTATATTCATGTTGTCTTAAGCAGAAGTCCCACTAAGTAATGATTTCCTGGTCACTGAGGAAACCTGTAGTACTTGGCAGGAGTACCATTTTATATTTGTTTCAGTGATCTATTGCTGCATAACAAACCACTCTGAAACTTAAAACAACTGTTTTGTTTTCTCACAATTCTGTGAGTCTGCAGTCTGGACTGGGGTCAGCTGGGCAGTTCCTCTGTTGATCTCTGCTGAGGTCACTCATGAGACTGCAGCCGTCTCAGGGTTTCAACAGGGTCTGATGGTCTAAAGCCAGCGAGGGAGAGAGGAAGCCCCACGGCACAAAGCGTCACAAGCCTTTCCTTGCCCCCTGGGCAAAGCGAGGCACATGGCCAAGCCCAGAGTCAGCGTGAGAGAGGACTGCAGTAGGATGAGTGGACGGACAGATGGGGGAGCGATTCACTGGGGCGTTAGTGTTACGATCTACCACCGTGTTCTTAAGATGTGTGTTTCAGTTCCAGTTATTCCATTCCAAAGTGATTTATCGAGCACAGTTTTTGACCAAAAGACTAACATGAGGCATTGTTATACGTATTAATAAAGAATTTGGATCTCGTGAGCAGATACTTCTTCTAGTCGCTCGTTTACACCTACCTAAACAGAGACAGCATTTTGTCTTGGCTCCTTTTAACGCGTTCCTTTGTCAGTTTCAGGCGTTGTTCAGAAAACAACGTTTTTCCTCACTGATGGCACAGAGGTGAAATGAGTTGGAATTGCGGGTTTTTACACCCGTATAAGCCTTTCTAACTATGTGATGGTGCAGGAGGTGGCCTGTTTTTGGCGTTCTGCCGCTTAGTGTGATTTTAGGAAACATGCTCAGTGAAAACCTTTTGTCTTTTGATAGATACGAAGAACCTTTTTCGTGGCTAATGCCAGTAATCCATAGAGAACCAAATAAACAATTTAAGTAAAAAGCAATTGAGTTTACTGTCTTAGAGAGAAAAATATGAAGAGTTTGACTCACCACAAACAAAAACACGAGGAATACGACATGGCACTTACAGAAAAAATAAAACGTAACGTAGTCTTTAATGTCTCATTACAGCCACGCTTAGAAAGCCAAAGGTGCAGGGAAAGAAGAGGGAGAAGGTTAATATCCCTTTCCCATATGTCTGTTAATCTTCTTCTGTGTGTATGTATGTTTATACATATTTATCTATATATTTACTTCACATATTTAATATGTAGTAGAATAGGATTTTTTTCATGAGTCAAAACATTTAAAAAATGTTCCTGATGAGCATATGACGGGATATTTGTAGTAAAATGGTTGAGCTGAAATGTGACATGAAGTTATGCTTGTGTATGATTTGAAGTGGATCAGAAATTACAGCCTTTACCTTCCTAAACCCAAAACCAACCCCACTGCCGTTCAGTCGATTCTTACTCATAGCGACCCTATCGGACAGAGTAGAACTGCCCAGCAGGGTTTCCAAGGAGCAGCTGGTGAATTCAAACTGCCGGCCTTTTGGTGAGCAGTCATAGCTCTTAACCACCATGCCCCCTGGTTTTTGGTTACCTTCCTAGTATGCAGTAAATCAGCGCAAACTACTCAATGATTTTAAAATCTAAAAGCACTGGAAGAAGCAGTGCTGCCCTACAGTAATTCCTAAGCTCTGTTCCTCATAACATGGGTTTCCCAGTTGACAAAAATGTCCCTCCTTAAAAAAAAAAAAAAAAATCCGTGATTAAATGTGTTTGAGAAACACCATATGCCATTCCCCCGTTATACGTTCACGATGGAAATTAAAGTCCTTCAGTAAAGAGTCTATTTAACTCAGCATTTGCCAGGTGAATTGGACAACCAATAGTGGGGATGAATTCATTTATTAAACAAATTAGTACTGGGTGCTTACTGTGCACCAGCCTCTGTTCTCGGCACTGGGGATACCATAGTGAACAAAACACAGTCCCCACCTCGTGACCGCTTACATCGCAGGTAAATAACAAACACATACAGGAATTTTCCGGTAGTGCCGTAATGTCTATAAACAAAGCTGTAACAGGGAAGAGAGGCAGAGTCAGAGAGGTAGTAAGGTTAATTCTCTTGGAAGAAATAACACCTGAGCAGAGCCATGGCTGTCGGGAGGAAGTGCAGAGGCCTTGAGGCGAAAGTATGCTTGTTGCATTAGACAGCAAAAAGAAAGTCTGCAAGGCTGAAGGAGGGAAACAAGTGGGCAGTGAGAAATGCTGTTAGGGAAATTCCCAGGGGCCAGATCCTGTAGGTCAGACCGTAGATTTTATTCTAAGACAGAGGGAAAACATTGGCTGGATTACTCTGCCTTTCATCTGAAAAGTGATTATAAGGAGGTTATTACCTTGTACAAAGAGTGGAAGCTGGGAGACTAAGCGCGGTTATCCATGTAAGAGTTGATGGCGTTTGGACAGAGGTGGTAACAGTAAAGGTAATGAGAAGCTCTTGGAACACAATTTGAAAGAAGAGTCATCCAGACTTGCTGGTAGATTGATCTGGGGTATAAGAAAAAAAAGAGATGATTCCAAGAGAGGAGAAATGGAATTGGCATTTACTGACATCAGGGACACTTGAGGAGAAGCGAAATTGGTGGTGGAAATCGAGAGTTTGGTTTCAAACATGTTCAATAGAGAGATTGAGTCGGCAGTGGAAGGCTAGGTCTGGGTTTCCTGGGACAGGTGCAGACTAGAGATAAAACTTAGAAATAATCAGTGTGTTGATGATATTTAAGGCCGTAGAACTGAAAGAAATCTCAGAGTTTAGACAGGAGAGAGACAAGGTCTGAGACTTCATCCTGGGTCACTTCTTCAATCCTGAAACCTTAGTCTTTGTTTTTATATTTTAAATGAACATGCCTTTGGTCACAAATAGCTCACATTTTAATGTAAATTCAATTTACTGAGAATTATCTTGTACAAAGTATTACAGTAGCCACCTTAAGCTGCTCAAATATGGGGGGAAAACAGTAACAAATTTTCTGCCCTCTAGAAGGGAAAGAAGATGGAGTCAGAGGTGAGGAAGAAGACTTAGGTTGATTGAGTGTATCCACTTGTGTCAGACACTCGCTAGTGAGAATTTAGTCCTTATAATAAGTATACGAGGTGAATTTAGTCCTTATAATAAGTATACGAGGTGAGCATTATTGCCCCCATGAGAAAGTAAAGCTCAGTAACGTGCCCCAGGCCACACATTACTTAGCTGATACCATGCCAGGATTTGATCAGCATTGATCTGACCCTGAGCCTGTTTCACTGTCTCGCTTTTGAGAGTCCTTGTCTAGCTGAAGATGCAGACACACGGAAAAGGCAGTCGTCGGAGATAATCCCACCATTGAGAGTGAGCCAGTCCGATCATTGGAATAGTCAGATCACTGCAGTGTTTGGGAACTGTTTTGAGTGTGTTCGTAGGGGACCAGAATGTTAGAAAAGGTTTCCTTTTTTCTGAATGTAAACTTTTTTTTTCTTTTGGTGGGGGAGATACACAGACACACACACACACAGACACACATACACACACAGACACACAGACACACACACACACACAGACACACACACACAGACACACATACACACACAGACACACACACAGACACACACACACACACACGCTGCTGATCCGCTTACAAAGTTGAAATTAAATGAATAATATTTGGTTTCAGTTCGTGATTAGTTTTTCTCCCCCAGGCACTTTTTGAATTAAACGCATTCTACAATAAAAGGGAAACTCAGTTTATTTATATCTCTGTAGAGCAGCTGAAATGTTCCCCCAGTAGCTTATTGTAACATGTCACAATACATCTTTGGTTTTTTGTTTGTCTGCCGAAAACTTGGTAACAGTGGAAAGGCTCTTCCTGATTCTAAATAGGGCATGGTTTGTTTGTTTAACAGCTGTGGACTCAAGTAGCTCCCACTCTCTTCAGGCCAGGTTGAAAACAGAGAACATGAAAACAAGCTGTGTTCAGCTCCCCACACGGCAGCTCATTGCACCGTTGCAGGGTGCTGCTGGCACCACGTGACCTGAAGAGGTGGCTCTGTTTCATGACCTTGACTCCAAGATCACCCCACACCTCACTTACATAATGAATATATGCCAGCACTACACAAGGGTAGCCAGCTCTGGCCTGGAGGTGACTGCCACAAGCTATTGCAGCTTCTCTGAAGCTGTTGTAAGGCCACGGGAAGTCACCTAGGAAGGCTAGCTTTCCCTGTGAATACCACCCCCAAATGCATAGCAGGAACACCTGTCCAGGGAACTTCTGTTACACCTGCTTTCTTAACATTAGGCTGAATTTTTAGGGTGGAGTCCCTCTGGTAAGAAAAACACTTCTGCAGTGGCAGGTCAAGAACAGCAAGGCCTCCCGAGGACTAGCAGTGACCCAGATCAGGATCCTTCTTGGCAGTCAGATACCTTTGTTGTTGTTGTTACCTGCTGCTGAGTCAGCTCCTGACTCATGGAGACCCCATTGTAATCCATAGGACTTTCATTGGCTGATTTGTCAGAAGAAGATTGTCAGGCCTTTCTTCCTAGTCTGTCTTAGTCTGGAAGTTGTGCTGAAACCAGTTCAGCATCATAGCAACACACAAACCTCCACTGACAGATGGGTGGTGGCTGCATATGAGGTGCACTGGCCAGGAACCAAACCCAGGTGTCCGGCATGGAAGGGAGAATTCTACCACTGTGAACCATCACTGCCTTATCCAGATACCTTTAGATACCGAATATCATACAGAAATTCAAATGATGGTCACTTCCAGAGAGAAGTGGATGCTAGGCTGATTGCTGCTGGTAACTTTGATAGTTAATCTGAGATCTACGTCTGCAGTACTCTGAGGTTCCTACATAACTTTAGCATTTTCTTTCCTGTTTACATTGATGAAATCTTAGATAATGATTAGAAGGGAAAATATATATGTTTGTGCTTTCAAAAATAATTGTGTTGCTTCTAATTTAAAAAGTAAGAACATTCTGGACAGAGCTGGAGAAGGATGTAGAACATAATTCTAACTCA